GCGCATCACGCTTACATGCGAAAAATCTATAGAGATCTAAATGTGCCCACGATCAAAGAACAGATTGAAACTGCAGCACAAAAATACTTAATAAAACTGAGTAACCATCCGAACCCTTTGGCTAACACCTTGACCCATGCAACAAGTCAAACCTGCTTGCGAAGAAGAGACAAACCAGCCTTCTAAAGAGCAGGGTCAAGTCAGCAGTCCATTCTTACTAATTTGGTTTTTTGTTTTAATTTAGTTTAAGAATTTATTACTTATTTTTAGGCTTCCGATGTCAAGGCAAATTCAATAAATAAATACTAATGTTAAAAAAAGTTGGAAAACGCATTAAATTTCAAGTTTTTAAACTATAAAAAATGGACTTTATGCAAACATTTCTTCTTTTTGCTCATAGTGCAGCATCTTCTTCTATGTTTGTTGTAGGCGCCACATATGCAATTATAGCCGAAGGATGGCTGGGACAATGTGAAGAAGTTCACGCAAGTTAGGGACGTTTTCAAATGGCAATCACTGAAGTTGGCTAGAACCGCTTCTTTTAAATATGGTTTAAGCAGTTTAAGACTTCCGGTCTTAGATCAAGTCAACCACCTAGAGGATAGCCAACAAACAAGTGTTTGAAGTTGAGCTAAAATGAGATGACGAATTCCTATCTGGTTATGCATATATGCACATGAGAAATCAACTCCAATGACTTATTAATGTTTAAATTTAAGAAAGTTCAATCGTATTGGACCATTTCCTGGTGGTATTCCTTGGCTCGGTTTTGTGTTAAATACCTTACCAAATATATATTTATTTAGCTACATACATATGTACATACGTATGTGTGCTCAAAAATAAAATATTCCTCTGTTGTATAGTAGATGTATTCAATTAAAAATTTTGCTTAAAGAATATCAAAAGTAATTGGAAACTTTTGCCACAAAAATGGCATTTTGTGGTCTTTGATGTCAAAGTGGTTTAAAACAAATAAAACAAATATATACATATATAAAATTATAACTGTCACTTGCAAGATGACAAGAGGATTTATATTAATTACATAACAATGTATATATATATACACATATCTATGTATGTGTGTACATACACGTATGCATTAAAATCTGCTGATTGGTTTATGGTGAAGAAAATATGAGATATTCTCTGAAGCCAAAATAGAAATTGAATGAATTTCTTTAAAATAAATATTTACATATACAGACATACAAACATGTGAATTGAAGCATAAAGTATTTATGTAAATACACAGAAATTTCTTTTAACTGTTTCAAAACCATTTCCCGAGAGAAATACAATATAAGAATAAATAAAAGAAATTCAATCTCAATTATACAAAAATCGCCTGAAAGAATATTTCAAACATACAACAACAACAACAACAGTAATACAAATATATATTTCGATTTATTGCGTCAAATGCAGTGCAAAAGGTCAGGCCAGACAAGCGATAGAGGAAACAACACAAGGAAATGTTATAATTAAAATATTGAAAATTTGTCATCAACGCCAGAGGCAAAACCCAACTTTTCATTTGGATATCTCAAGAGAAGTGTGCAAATTAATAATTAACATGAAGCGGAGGAAAAGGAGGAAAAGGCAAAGGCTTTAGACTTTTCAAACGCAATCTGTTGTTGGTCACACGAAACATACAAATCGAATACCTACAAAACAAAGATGAGCCAGTTAGAAGAAATCAGCAAACAGTAGCGAAGGCGGCCCTATCTATGTACATATGTACTTACTTGCCTACTTTTACTTAACAAACGTACATATAAACAAAATAGATAGCTGCCAAAATGTTAAAATTATAAATCAAATATTTGGGAAAACCTAAAAGAGCGAGTGCACGGGCGCAAAGACAGAACTAATGACAACCAAATATGTCTTAATATTCGGCTGTGTCTGCCTTGACGCACTTAAAGTACTCCTTAGCGCTCAAGGACAATTGAATATGGAAAGCACAAACACATACTAAAAGCTGTCTCTCAACTTGTCTCTCTGTGTGTGTGTGTGTGTGTGTGTGTGCATTGAAAAAAAATACAGCGTGTGCCTGGTGACAAGAAGCTTTGCCATAGAAGTAGCTCAGACAACTCTTAGCCAAGATTTGAGATAAAGTTAAATACAAGCGGATTTTCGATATTTTCTTTGTTTCTTTGTTTGTTTGTTGGTATACTCTAAACCGCTAACATTACCGTTACCGTTGTCAAGCCAGCACATGACAAGTGCAGAAATGCCGAACAAAGACCTGTTTTTGTTGTGTTTATGAGTAGGGAAAGTGGTGAAAGTGGCTGAAAAGTTTCCCCAAATGTGTGTTGGCTGGTAAATTGTTATATTTTTAGATTTCTTAGCTTTAATTCCGCAGGGTAATGGAAAGTTGGAAGGAATTTTTTGCCAAAATTAATCAAATTAATTAATTTAATCCAAATTTAATCGATGAGACTCGTACGGATTGTGAATGAAATTCAATATCTATGAGGGATCACAACCATAGGTATTTTTCACGGCTGAAGAGAAATTTGCTTGAAATAGCGCCAACTACTGCTTGTTGTTCAAGCACACAATCGACGTAAAGGTCAGCTGGCTTCAGTGTCGTAAGATAGTCCTAGCTCTTGAGAACGTTGAGAAATAGACACATTAGGGTCCTCAGCTACATTTTCATTTTCATAAATGTCCATATATTTGAGGTGGAACGAACAAAACGATTATAGACAAAATTTTACTGATTGCTAAAGAAAACATGCTTGGCTCGCTCGCTAGTTCGGTCATTCTGCAATTGTCTGGGATGTCACTGTGTCCGGCTTCAAAAAGCGCGACAGTGTTGCATTTAGTCGAGAGTATGCCTAGATTGCTTCTACATTTTCAAGCCGTTTTTGATGTGGTACTGTTACAATACAGAGCTCCGATGGCTGCTTGACGGTATATGCTTAACGTGTTGCCGTTTGAGCTTCCACTCGTCGGCTTCAATGATTGCAAAGAGTTCTGCTTGGAAGGCGCTACAGTGGACTGGTGCTCTCACGCTCTTGTTTATTGAGCTCATCGGAGAATTAATTTCACAACCGACTTTTCCATCGAGTTTTGAGCCGACTTTTAAGATCATTATGGCTCCCTGATCAAGGGAACACATACGGGATGTAGTGTAATCTAGTACAAAATATTCGGTCTTAGCCTCATTTTTTTTCTATTGTCGTTACAGAATATTGATTTAAGTGAAGTCATAGCCTTCTCTGACCTCTCTGCCGTCTTCCAACTCCAGTTGAGTTTGGTATCTAAGATTATTTCGAGATATTTTACTTCGGTCGAGAGAGTGAACTCCGCGGCCTTTAGTTTACTGGTAACGGTTTCTTGGTTCTATAAGTATGATCCAGAAACCAAATAGCAGTCCATGGTATGGAGCCCAACAGGTGCAAAACTCATTCGCAAAATCTAAGCAACAAAAATCAGCAGCAAAAGTAATGATGTCAGTGTACCTCATCCGATATAAAATGGTATAGCAGCTACGATCCACTGGAAAGGGTAATAAGAAAAAACTTTAAAATGGTACACCGAACAGTGCTAACCAAAAGTTTTCAAATTTTTTTTGGAAAACAGAAATAAAGAGGATTTGCGGTGCGACTTTTTCTATCGTGGCAACGTCCCATACCACACTGCTGAAATAACGAGCAATTTTATTGCGATTTCTGGGATCAAAGAATAACATCCAGCACCATATTTCCCGGATATAGACGATGGCCGGCCAAGCTCCTCCTCTAAAATATGGAATAGGCCTCAAGGTTTTCGAAAATTGAAGAGATTTGCAAAACTTTCTGAACGTTTTTTAAGAAGAGCTTTAAACTTCATGGTAGTTTCCCAGTTACCTTCAGTACTTGAAGCTCATTTCATATTCTCTTTTAATTAAACTAACATTTTCGGATAATATTAGTACTTTTAAACTTTCCTTAATCGACCATTTAAAGCAACACGGCTGACACTGACTTTGTCTAACTCAATGTAATAGTGTAAGCCAGGAAGCTCAATACGTCAGCGACCCACCTTATAGGTCCAACCAAGCAGCTGACATTTTTCCTGGAAAGACTTGATAAAAGCCTAGATGTGTGAGCAACACACATCCATGCAGACAGTGATGTGTCGACAAGAAGTCAACGCACGAGCTTGGGACCAAAAGGAATTTAGAATCACGAACCACTCAACTGCATCAAAACGATTGAAATGTCACATTGTGGCCTACTTCAGTTCGATTGCCGTTCAGCTGCTCAGCTGCTTTTTCATACCTCAACAGTGGCAGCCAACATGGCTGTTAAGCATAGAAAATGGCGAGGAGAATACTTGAGCTTGTGAGGTGGGCTCTGACTTTGAGTTCATCAGACGCTTGTTAAAACAAATGTGTGTTTGCTCAAGAACAACACACGTCGCCATACTGTTTGTATGTTCAAGATGGGATCAAGTGACAAGCAGATAGAATGACGAGCAAATGGGTATGAAGGCGAACAGCTGAACAGACGAACAGACGAAAGGACGAAAAGACGAAGAGCTATAAAGGCAAAGTCACAATAACTAAGAGTGCTCTGTTTGGGTTTAATGTTGACATTTTGTATTGCGCAACGAAGGACTGACTGTCCATTCAGACGCTTCACAGAATGGGCGGGCGCTTAAGTAAACACAAAGGGGGCAGTTGCGTATTTCATACTTACACGTATGTACGTTTGTGTACATATTTTTTGCTTATTGGCGTATTTTCTTTTTTAATATAGACACCAAATGTACATATTTATTTAGTCTTTCTTTTCTCGATTTTGACTCCATGAACATGACACTGCATATATGTAAGTCTGTATGTATGTATCTGGATGAATGGGTGTTCGTCTTTGTTATTCTTGGCTAAATATTTGCATTTTGTATTTCTCAGTTAAAAAAAAAAATAGCATAAATACATATGTACATGTGTATATACTCGTGCGTGTGATTGTATGTGTTTATATATTGCAATAACTTACCACCAAAGACGCCATTTATATAACCAGCCGTCAAATTGCCGCCACGTCCAGCCTTCCGCAGTAGCGCATCATCGATGAGTAGCAGACGCGTCGACGCGAAAGGATCCGGTTTCACAGGCCCTTCATATAAATTCATATCATCATGATTTTTAAATAAATTATGACGCGTAATGACATCTTCCATGCCGGCCCGATGCAGCTCTGGTATGAGGCGCAGCCATATTGAAAGTTGATGTGCGCGAAAATGATTCTTGATGCGTGGCTTCATTCCTGGAAGAGAAAGAAGGAGAGAATGGAGAATTTAGTGAAAGAAAAACAATACACACATTGAAACATGTACATATGTATATATGTATATCGTATGTATTTATATATAAAAAAGAAGGGAAATGTAAGAATGAAAGTTGACGGTATATTCTTTTCTGTTATTTCTGTTGAGGAAAATTTTAATGAGAGAGGCGTGTACACATTCAAGCGCTCATACGAGTACGAGGGGATTAACAAAAGTTCGGTAAGATGACCAGAAGTTTTTTATTTATTGGTAATCTTTCCTTTTCCTTTCGTAATCTGCCCTTTTTACCTCCTCCACATAATCGTCATTGATTTCAAAGCATTTTAAAGCATTCATTAACCATATAAATTATCTCTTCGTCCTCGACCATAATTTTTAATTTTTTTTTTTTAATTTTGGAAAAGAAAATCAGAAGGTGCTTTATCCGAAGATTTTTTGAAAACTAGCAAACTAGCTGAAGTATTTAAAAGCCTGGTTTACGATCGGTTTAACTGTCGGTTTTGACAAAATTCTTCATAAATCCCAACTGGATATGTACAATAATGGCGGAAGGACAACCTTTTTTTTGGATCTACAAGAGGCTCGACAATTACGTTTTTCTCACTAAAGTTAAGATTTCTTGCAGGCCAAACTGCTTGATATAATGTGATTTTTTAACTCTGCAATCCCCCATACATAAATATTAATATTTTGTATACCCCAATTGCATTCCTATATCTCCGCAGATTTTCTACTCATTTTCCAGATTATGGATTGAACCGCATGGCCAATAGGAATGGAAGGTAGACGATCGCCATTATGAGACAACACAGCTTTCACGCTAAACTTAAAAGAGTCTATGAAATGTCTGGATTCAGTTGAAACATGCCTCATATTCATACTTTCAATCAATGCATTATTATTACAACAAAAAACAAAGTTTTTTTTCTCAAAAAAAAAAAAAAAAAAAAAAAAAATTAAATTGCTATGACGTTATCTTTAATAGGTGACCCCGAGGTTTCATTACCATAAATTCTGCCTTCTCCAGTGACAAATCAGGTTCTCTTAAGAGATCACTCAGCTCTGATTGACTCAATTTATGCCGTGGATCATTTTTTTGCACCTTAAAAACTGGGTCAAAAAATTTTGAAGGCTTGCTGAACTCTTCTTCTATTGTACGTGTTTTCATTATCTGCTCCCAACTCATAAGTCTGGTGGGTATAAGAACATGTAAACTATTTGTATGTGGAATAGGTTGAGTAGCTGAGAGAATATTGGGGTGTTTAGCAGTCTTTTTTTGCTTTTAAAGATGGAGTCAAATGAAAAAAGCAATTGTCTATGTGCTTAGTGGGCTCTCGCCAAATCAGGGATCGTTTTTTTTTTTTATTTTTCAGCCATTTTCGTAATAAAGCTGAACACGAAATGCAACGTACCAAAAAAATTTTGAACATTTTTTGCAGATTTAAGAATTTATTAAATATTGTATCAATAAAAGAGCTCATATCTCTTAAACTAGAACTTCGTTCCTTGGTTCTTTTAATAGTTGTTTTCCATTCAGAAAATGAAGAGACAAAGGGTAGGACTAATTTTGAGACCGAAACAATTTCATTCTTCCGCAGTGTTTTCAGGCTATAACAAATCTTATTAGAAAACCCTTCATTTGAATGAATGAATAGTAAGTGAATATATTTTCGCATTTAATTTGTGGAAACCTGCAGATCGGTCACCTATATCCTATATCCCTTTCAAATAAGCTGTTCGTTCAGGTATGTGTCTTTGGCACATAAACGCTTCGATAAAATATCTAAGATCATGCCAAAAGAGATTCTATAATCACATAACGAAGTAAACTTAGCCCCCATATAACCATTCTTTTTTTTTTTTGAGTTTGATATTTTAGTTTTAAAATCCGTGAAAAAGCTTCTAAGGGGATGAAATTATGGTATTGTACACATGAAAATTCAAATTTATTTCAAAACTCAAAATCATTGAATAGAGTTTGCATTCTGCAATAAATTAGATAAATTCGTGAAAGATATAAAGACTTTGACATGACCGAAGACAGCAGTGCTTTCTTATTGCTATTGATTTTTTCTTATTTATTTCATTTATTTCTTCACTTAATTTTTATTTCTTATTGCTTTTTTTATTTGTAGAATTTATTCCCCAAAACCTTGAAAGTTTCAGCTTCTACTCAAGCAACAATTCGTTACCGGATAAGGGTTTGATAAATTGAATTAATACAGTGAACAGAGTTTCTTTCTTACTTTGCTACCTTTTTTTCTCCTTTTCCCTGTTTACTGAATGATAATGAAATGTACTTGACATTGAATTCTTTTGACAGTCTTAATATTTTTTGTAGCTTCAAGTGGCTGACTTAATTTTGAAGATTGCATTAGTTAGCACAAAATTGTAGTAAAACAGATAAAAAAAGTGTATTCGAATAAAAGTGAAGGTGGCTGACAGAGTGTTTGTTTTTCTACCTCACCACAGAGAGGAGAGAGGAGCGTAAAGCATTTTGAGTGGGTAATAATTTCAAGAATTAAAGTTCGTAGTAAGAGAGTTTAATAGCATAGTCTGTTGATTATTTACATATATATTGGTAAAAAATTAAAAAAATATATATATGATGAATCGAGTTCAGAAGCTTTTTTGGAAGCTTTTTAAAAAAAAGGCAGCCAAGGAAAACTCGGCATTTTTTATTGTTTTTTTGTACCAAAATTGCTTTGGAAGCCGAATAAGTTTTGTAGTCAAATAATATGTTGTTGCAGTAGCCGCTACTATTCAAAAAGTCAGGGTTCGTGCTTTGGTCTGACCAACATCCATAATTATAGAAAATAAATTTTTTGTGATTGTAGTCGCCTCTCGATTATAAATGTCAAAGCCACGGATTGTATTTCTGGCTTAAAGTAAAAAAGCTCATCAAAGTCCATTGAAGGCGTTTAACAAAAGATGTAGACGCCGCCGTTTAGTAGAAGAAAAAAAATTAAGACTGAAACCTCAATTTGTAGGAGGAGCTCTCCGATTGTATTTATTTCAGATTTAATTTTGGGCTTATGTGAACCAATCCACAATGCACAAAATACACATTCAAGCAAATTTTTAAAGTGTGGCGGCTATCGGGTTCTGGTCCCGCTCTTAGGCATCCTAAGTGCATTGCAAGAGTATTCTTGCTTTTTATAACATTTTACCTTTTACAAGCCTTGGATATACTGGCATGGTGGGTGCTTCAAAACTTCCCAACCAAACTCAGTAGCTTTTTTGGGTCATCAGAGGTGTAGGTTTGTGGCCTGGCGTTGAAATGATGAAGTGCGACAGCTTTTCTATTGATCAATTTTTGACACTTTTTTGAAGAAGTCGTTGTAGCCTGGTTAATTGCTAACTGTAGCGCAGAGAACTTACCATTTCACCAGTTTGTAGTTGCTCATAATGCATCTTTATTTGGCGTTGATTCAGGCTTTGAAATCGTTTGTGGCAGGTCACGGGCTTTTAACCTTGATTCTTGGCTTTTTTGGGCGTGAAGCCATGTGATACCTACGCATCGAGCTTCTTTGAGGGCTTATTTCCACTTGTAATTTTCAAAAAATTTATTTATTTTAAATTTTCGAAACCAGATTGTATTTTGAAAAAATTTCAGGTAGATTCAACAAACAGTCTCGGAGATCTGATCGTATAAGTAAGAACGTCTCGTCGCGTTCGAAAATACGCGAAGCACAAGGCTGATTAGTTTTAGTAAATGGTTCGAACAACTTTTAATACGTTTTTCTGAAAAGCTGTTTTCAGAGTCGGCAAGGAAAATTTCTCTGAAACGGCTAAACTGATCGGGTTTAAATTTTCAAATGACCTACTATGATATATGTATTTGTGATCGGAGGAATGCAATTTTTGGTAATAATTTCGATTTTTTAAGCCACTTTGAGGTGTAGAATTTCTCAAATTAATTTGTCAAAAAAGAAAATGTTCACCATTCCTTCGATAATAAACTATAATACATTTTTTTTTTTTGGTTTTCGAGTTTCACATAATTTGAAGCAGAAATATCTTCATCACCACCAGACTACTTTTTTTGAGGTCTTCTTCTTCTTCTTCTTCTTCAGAACAAAACAACTGACCAGAATGAGGTGAATCTGTGACTACAAAATTTCTGCAAGTTAATCGTGCAAACCATTTCCGCATTTGTCATTTACTCACGGCATTCTGACGGTAAAATACAAAACGTGTCCCCAATCGGCTTAAAATAGGTTCCTTTGACAACTGAATTTGTTCTAGAGACCAAAAAAAGTCACAGCGTGACATATCGGGCGTATAAGGCGGTTGTTGCAATACGGCCATCCCTTTAGAGGCCGAATACTGGGTCGCGCTGAGAGCAGTGTGGCACAGCGCGTTGTCGTGATCCAGGATCCAAGCTACGAGCGATGCCTGGGCGCACCCTGTTGACTCGTCGTAGACTTAATTTACGGTTTTCCTCGGTGGAAGAAATTATTTGTGGACGATTCTACGGCTATCAAAAAAGGCAAAAATCTTTATTTTCACTTTCGACTTGCTCATGCCAGCTTTTTGCGGTCGCGGGGCGTGCGGAGACAACCTGGGCACGACTAAAAGCATTACAACCATGCACTTTTACAGTTTTAGCGTACGTTTCCGAAGCTCTTTCGCTAATTTTAGCGCAAAATTTGATTGCGACGGGTGGTTCCCGATTTTGTTTTTCTACACATAACGAACACACGTTTACTCAGCACAACAGAGCTGGCGAACTAAACAAGCCAGAGCGATGGCAAATATACCAATGGAGAGGAGAATTAATGGAATTTCGGTTATCCTACGACCATGATGCTCCGAATCGACAGTGCTTTTCTCGCCATTGTCCTTTCCAAAGAAGTAAGGTCCGATCAAAATTTTTGTTTCTCTCTTTAATTACTTGGATTATTGTATTTAATGCTTCTATATGAGTTCGAAAAATCACCGCCCCCCAGCTGTTGTTCAAGTACCCAATCGACTT